CGTCGTGGACGCAGGCCTTTGGAAATTCGAGTCGCGATGGGATGCCCGAAAGTCCCTCGTGCGACGTCGGAGAAACGTACGTTGAATAATTGCCCAAGAGAAAAGCCATTACGAGTAAATCTCTTTCCTTCGCGCGAGTCCCTCGAAGTCTCCTTTTAAAGGTCACGTCGCTCGCTCGCTCGCTAATTCCATTACCATAATATCATTAAAAATCATTATAATCCTGAATAATTGCGTAGTTGAGGAAGTTAAGGAAGCAAAGTAATTTAGCGTAATATGGCAGGACAAGGCGCGGTAAGGAACTTCGAAGGGCCCGCAGTTCGATCTATTCGGTCTAGCAACTCGCGCGAAGAACTCGGACGTTCTTCCGAGCGGAAAACGCGTAGAATTACTTTCGTTAAGGGAATCCTAAAGTTTCCCTTCGTTTTTTTTATATAAAGTCGACCAGCATAGTCTAGATTTTGCTGCGTACTTTGATTCCGTAAAAGAGTTTTGCGTTTCTATAAAGCCAATTAAAAGGTTACATCCAACAAGGACTGTCGATAAAACAGGTGGCTTTAGGATCCCCTTAAGGCCCATAAGCGCGATTGCAATGGCAAACGGCGTACAATTGCGGGGATTAAAAGGTTACATCCACAAAGACTGTCGATAAAACAGGTGGCTTTAGGATTCCCTTAAGGCCCAAAGCGCGATTGCAATGGCGAAGGGCGTACAATTGCGGGGATTAAAAGGTTACATCCAACAAAGACTGTCGATAAAACAGGTGGCTTTAGGATCCCCTTAAGGCCCAAAGCGCGATTGCAATGGCGAAGGGCGTACAATTGCGGGGATATGATAGTCCGTCTCTCGCTTCCTTGCGCATTCCGCGGATCCGCGACGCGGTCGTCGCAATTTGTGCCGTTAATTTTACCTAAACGCGGCTTCGCACACGCGAGAGATCACGGGACGTTGGTAGAAGGAGGCAATTTAGCAAATTGAAACCGTCAAACACTTGCTACTTGCGGGCTGAAGTTTAAGGCGGCGCTCCAAAGAAGCGTCTCTAATCTACTTTGAGGAGCCACGCGAGAGCGAGTTTCGCGAAAGCCGACAAAGGGCGCCTCTCACGTCATACGCGAACGAGTTGTTTAAATAATACACTTGTTTTTCATTTCCGTGGGTGTCTGTCGATACCAAAACTCGGCGGCGAACGCGATTATTTCCGTCGGAAATTGTTGTCAGGAGCCGTTCTCAAAAGCGATTCCGAGGTGAACGTTTAATTTTAGAACGCATATGCTCTACTCAAATCGAATAGTCAACGTCTGCCATTATAAAATTTCGGTCGCAATCGGACGTTGCGCGCTTCAGGGGGCTTCGCGCTTCCAGTTGCACGTAGATATAATCAATTAAGCGATCGGTTGCAGAAAGTTTCGGCTGGATCCCGGGTGTTTCTTACTCCTTGTCGACTCCTCGGTGAGTCAGCGAATGATGAACGACCGCTTCAACGAAAAAGATTCCGCCTTCCGCGCGAAAGGTCGTCAATTTTTATATCCCACCGCGTGCAAGGTGGGAAGCCATTCTTCTAGATGTATACGCAAACTACCCACGTACGCCTGGCACTAAAGCACGAAACTCTGCCACAATGGGGGGATTGTGTGTTATTGCGACGTGCGGCGACGTTGAACTTCATTCTCTCTGTCTAGTTTACATCGTAGCTCGGTCTACATTGGCCATTGGAAAATGGCAACGGATAAATATTGCGCGAGAGAGAAAGAGAGAGAGAGAGCCTCGGCCATATCGCGTTGGAAAACCAATATCGCGCACGCGCGCGTGTGTATGTGTGTGTGTGTGTGTGTTTTGCGTATGTATCCAGCCCTTAATAGTCCTCTGATGAGTCCATAGGTACAGCTGCGCGGGTAGTTAGGGTTCGTTAAGCGTTCACCCCGCAAGAAACATCTAAAGATCGCGGGCGCACACGTGTATTATTCACACGCGTTAATTGCCGTTATTATGCCCGTGCATCCCTTTATAATACCACCGAGCGAGAGCGCTGGGGTATCCTTTGGAAAAATACACCTTACCGCCTCTGTAATTCAGAACGAGGAATCTCGGGTCGCGCGGTAAACGCGCCGCAAAGTTAAACAGATACCGGACGCCACTTTGCGCTACGCGCGCGAAGGAGGAAATTGGTATTGTCCGTCGGGGCCCGTTCACGCGGGTCTTTCGGTTACGTTTTTCGTTTAAAATTTCGTCGATTATTGAGGCACGTCAATTGCAAATATCTCCTCGCAACGATCACGCGATCCAACAATGAATTTTCTACCGAACAGATTTCGCTCCAAAGCACAGCAAAATGGCGGAATCAACAGATGAGGTCTGTTAATTTAACAGAAATCCTCTGCTACCTCGTACTAGAAGCCTATCTCATAATACGGGACTTTCCTCCACTTGTATTACGGATCGCGATGCTGTGCTTTAATATTAATCAGCAGTCACATTACCGTCTCTGTAATTGCCATCTCGTGCTCGAGAGGGGTGTTTCAAAGCGCGTTGAATAATTCACGCGCTTTAGTCATTATCTTAATGACGGCAGATTACAAAAGGCAGTTTGCTTGTCTAGGCCACGCCCATGTGACAGACTTCAACATCGCGACTGTACTCGAAGACGGACAGTTGGCGACTTCGATGTCCGGGACAAAACCGTACATGGGTATGTGTGAACGAATAGTCCGACAACTCTGACTTTCCCTGCGTCCGCATATTTTAATTTTGAATTCTCTCGCCCGCGCGTTTCTTCGTTTTCAATTTAATTCATTCAATTTCGATGCCTCGATGTTTATAGTCAATTTTATATTTAATATAAACACCGTATGTAATCGTAATTGTTTAATCGTTTAAAGTATCGCGCGCACGTATCTCTTTTTACATTTGGTACGAACGTAAACGTCAGATTAATAATTAATAATTGCGGTCGACCTACCCTCATAAATTGTTTCCGTAAAGTTAATTCCTCATTCTCACGCGGGAACCGTTTCCTTACGAAAAAGTAAGAAAATAATTACTAAACAATTGCTGTATATCACGCAGTTGGAAAATTTGTGTTTTCTTGTTAAAATTTTTGTATTAAATGTTTAACACATTCATATGTTGATTTAACATATTGCTCTTGTGTTAGTTGACCCCAAATGTAAAATTATTAAAATAACTAAAAAGAAACGTTAAAACAACACAATGTGTACTTATTTTTAATCCGACACAATACATATGTTCTATATTAGTAACAAAATTTATCTGTTAAAATTTACAGAATAAAATGGTGATTTTATTCTATATAGCATAACTGACAGTGATTTCGAACCGTCGTTTGATTTGTTACGTCTGTAAAATGTAAAAATTACATTTTTTAAATTCATTTTGTCATTAAAAATATGTTAATTTTACAGAAAATTTATTTCAAATTACTTGGAGGTTTGCACTTATTTTGTGTTAAAATATTAACAGAGTATTAGTGTGATCATTTAACATATCCGTATTATGTTAAAGTAACACAAACATTTATGTGGACCGTTTGGGACGTGTGATATCTGTTAAATTTAACACCAAATTTTTCAACTGTGCAGTAATTGAATCATTAGCAATTACTGAAAGTAATTATTTCGTTGCTCTTCCGTAAGAGTTGCTACGCGAATTGAAGGAAGATCCGCGATTCTTCAAGTGAAAGCTACATCTATACGCATCGATATAAGATATCGCGTGGTATCAAGCGGTATCTCATGACTCAGAGAAAAAGGGTCATTCCAAAAAGAAGAAGTGCCCCGTCGTTTCCATGCATCGGTTCAGACCCGTCTTCTGCGCCCGCTTTAAATTCGAAGCCGCTCTCGCGAATAACATGACCGGTACGCTTTCTTGCATTTCTCCTTTTTAACGCGGATCAGCCCCGGAGATTTACATGTGCTCGTGCGAGGAATACGGCGTCCTCGGCTACGGATTCGCCGTGGACTGGTGGAGCCTGGGAATCCTCGCTTGGGAGACCCTAGCCGTGGAGAGACCGTATCCGCTTCACTCCACGACGTCCAACAGAGAGGCTCTAAGGATCTTGCAGGTAAGACGCGGGTGTAATAAAGAAGGGAAATAAAAAGAAATGTTACGTTGGATATCGCCACGTGAAAAGGCCGGGCACCGCGCGGCCCTTTCATGTCCCACTTCCGCCACGTCCTCGAGCGGTATACTTGAATTCTTTATTAACGCGCGCGCGTTATTCTGTTAATTAAGGTTGCGTCATGTCACGGCTGTCACATTAATTAAGGCTCGCCATGAGCGCGCCGTCGGCACGACACGCGCCACGACGTGCTCGCCAGTTCTATCCTGCATGTCCGTCCGCCTGCACAACACTAACATTCTAACTGTCTCGTAACACTCCAGTTTGAAATGATTCCTAAAGTAAATGCACGGCTGTACGGTGTAAAACATTGTGCAGTTTGGTGTACAGTATTTCACCTTGGAAGTAGATTTGCGAGATCAAGGGGATGATCCAGGCTCCTTTTATTTCAACATAATGAGGGTCTTGAAGAAGTTTATCTCCCATAAGTTTTTATTTAAAGAAACATGCTTTCTGATACATTTGGTTGCACTATCTTCAGTCTTCATTCTCGGGACGTTTCCTTTACGTCGTATTTTTGCGACAGACGCGAGAGAAAAACTCGCGCGACACGAATGCCTCGTCTTTCAGGAGGAAAGGTCGACACCCTCGCACTGGAGCCCGTCGATACGCGATCTCCTGGACCGCCTGTTAACCCTCGCGCCGAGCGCCCGAGTGTCGTGCTTGAAAGAATTGAAGCAGGCTAGCGCGATGAGGGATCTGGACTTCGACAAGGTGCTGAACAAGCAGATAAAGCCGCGCTTCACGCCGCCGAAGGATCATCTGAATTGCGATCCCACGTTCGAGCTCGAGGAAATGATAATCGAGACGAAACCCCTGCACAAGAAGAAGAAACGGCTGGCTAAACAGAGGTCGGTTGCACTTTTAAGCTCAAAATAATGAAAATATCGTCGACCGAAATGGTGACATGGAATTCTCACCGTCGTCTCTTAGTTTTAAGGCAAACATCCGCGATTTTCATCTCGCATCTCACTGATTGCGGTCACAGGATGTAAAATTTCACCACAATCGCGTGTAGAATATTTTAACGCTTTCCACACTTTGCGGTGATTTTTTTGAAATGGCTCCTTGTGCAATGAAAGCCGTACTTAACGTTACAACAAGAATCACTTGGAATTAAATATAAAAATAGATCGCGTTTCATCCCTTAAACCTCAAAATAGACACGTAAGGAAATGCGCCTCTTTCGTGTTTAACTCTTTGCGGCCCATTATGAGAAAAAGTGTATCTTTCAAAAAGAAAAACATTTATTATACAAACAAACATCTATGAGCAACTGTCAATTATTTAAAAAATTAATATTGACTGTTGGATCCCATGTTTTTCAAAATAACTCATTAGTTACGTAACAATTTATATTTATTTAATTACCTTACAATCGCAAAAAAATCTAAAGTAACAAAACTAAAAGAACACGACAGCTCATCGTGGTTTCACAGCGACATCACTGAGATGGAAAGGATCGACAATACATTTCATGGAAAATCAGTTCTAGACAGTTGTGACACGTTTTGTTCGTGATAACAGTTTAACAAAGCAACACTCCCAAGCGTAAATTTTATAATAATGCCAAATCTATACAGTTCTGTTAGTGACTTGGGTCACTAAAAAGTAAAACTCGCCATTGATAAGTCATCCTTTAATGAGTTGAGTTGAGGAACGCGTATTTAGATTCAGGTTTACATTCCGAAACACTTTCTCGGGAGAAAATTTTACTTGACAAATAGATCGGAAACGCACAGAATGGCCATCGAATAAAATATTCCTCGGATAAGAAGATTTTAGAACGTAACTCTGACTCTAAACGCACGTTTCTAAACTGACTAAAAAGAAATGTCTTAATTCATTCTGTCCACCACTGATGTATCATACATAGCCGATACCTTGGTTCTACCATTTTTATCGATGTAATTCGCAAATTTTGAAATCATCCAAACTGCCAATACAAACATTTTGCTACAAAATCTATAGAACTGACAAAATCATGCACAACAATCCAATGATCCGCAAAATTCCGGTATGTTTGATATTTGTTTATGCTTCTATCGCGAAGGTAGGGATTGTAAATAGTAAATTTCACTTTTTAGTGACCCAAATAACAGAGGTCTGTATAAATTTGGGATTGCTAAGGAATTTACACCCGAGAGTGTTTCCTTGTAAGATAATTACTTCTCGTAAAAGAAGACACTGTTATACTTTCACGTTAACATTTACCTTTCTCTCTCCCAGTGAACACCGAGCGTCGATTACATCGCATAGATTACATTTACATTGCCGAGTAAGAAATTGCAACATATGTAAATGCAATGTAACCGACGCTCGGTGCTCACCGGGTTGTAAGAGAATCGCGCATAATCACGCCGAAGAAATTCATCGTCGCGCCGTGAATAGCACAACACGATACGATCCCTGTAGCGACCGTTGCGATCCCGAACATCTTGAGATTCACGTATTCCTCTCGCGGATCTGCATATTACCAAGGGTAATTAATATGCTAATTGTCGAAGCAATATCTCGACATCCCGTTGCAGGTCGCTGAGGGTCGAGCCGGAGGACGCCGGTGGGTTCGCCGAGGGGGCTGGCTCGAGCGTAGACACGCGGAGATTAGCTTACATCCCGGAATACCGGGTGTACAATCGCGAGCGTGAGATCGAGAGACAGGAGAGAGAGCGGAAGGAGAAACAATGGGAGGAGGAACTGAACACTGCCATGAAGGGTGCCGAAGAAAGACTCAAGTACGCTTCGGTAAAAACATTCCTCGGGATACATCGTCGATATACTTTTCTCTCCCTCTCCTTTTTTTATTTTCCAACGCGACCGTTTGCGATATATCCGTCCGAGAAGATCAACGTTTCAAATTGAATAATCCCCCGTTTTATTTCCCTGGACGTTACCACCCGCCCACTGTGCGCCCACCCGATTCCCGCAACTAATCCCGAGTCCCGAAGTTGAGACCCCACGGACAACCACCGTGTACGTTAATCTCTCCCGGGCGATGCGTCTCTCCTCGCCGGCGTTCTTGCACGTAGCGATATATCCGTGTCGCAATCCTTTGATTACAGAACAAAGCAGCAACATCTGCCGGCCCAGCGAACCGGAAACCGACTGAGTGTCTCGACGACGAACGTCAAAGCGCGCATAAGCGCGTCGCCGAGACAAGGTCGCCGAGCGAGCGCCACGGCGTCTTCGGACATCGACTTCATCGACGCGAGTCCGGAGCCTAGCACGTCTTAGATAACGCCGGGCATTATATTTCGACGTAGCCTATCTGCGACCAGTAGACTCCTTCGATCCTACGAAAAACGCGCACCGAAGCCCCCGCACTTGACAAGAAAAGGTGTCCCTTTAAAATTCAATTATCTCCCACGTTAAAGTCTAAGACGAGGAAGCGAGAAATTCCACCGTAGATGAAGTTTTTATACTCTTCTTGGAAAGATACACGACGGATATGTAACGCAATTCGCTCTTATTTTTCTATCTGTCGCGATTACAGCGCGGGGTGATTTATCTTTGACAAAGCCCGCCACGTCTCGCTGGATCCTCTCCCGCAGCGTTTACCTTCGATTCGTGCTGCGGAAAAGAAGCGGAAGAGACGCGAGTTTTAAGGCCTCCGTACATCCTTTCAGGTGCTACGACGCAATCGCGCTTATCCACGACGGACTCGGGCGTTCAGTTTCTTTGGGAATTTTACAGATAGGGTGATGGCGCGCCGAGATCAGTTCGCTAACCATTTTCATCCACGATACCCTGAAATAGAGAGACCCCGCAATCAGAGACTGGCCATAAGAGCTCGTCAAATTCCTGCGAGCGAGCGAGAAACGCAGGCTATCTCACTCTTCTACGGCCGTAACGAAACGGAATTTGACGGACTCTTATGGCCAGTCTCTGATTATAGGGTCTCTACCCTGAAAATGCGGATAGCAGCTGGAGATAGCCGCACGTCGTAAGCTCTATCGGACTCCGGCAGTGCGCACTTAATCACTGTACCAGGAAACGTGCATTTATACGATTATCATCCCGGATTATCCCGCGAACTCCGACCAACGGCGGCGCAGGCTTATTCCCGTAGTAACGAACGGCGGGGATGATCTCCTTCGTTCGAGTGGTTGCGAATGATTTTTCTTTTTCTTCCGTTGCCTCAGAGACCCGGTTGCGTTAGACGATCCTTAGAATTAGCACGCACGTCTTCGACAAGTATAATGCAAATTAATCCTTTCAGTACAAATTGCAAAAATATCTTATTACCATCCCGGATTATCCCGCGAACTCCGACCAACGGCGGCGCAGGCTTATCCCCGGAGTAACGAACGGCGGGGATTATCTTCGTTGGAGTAGCGAATGATTTCTTCTTTTTCGTTCTCAAAGACCCCGGTTGCGTTAGACGATCCTTGTAGAATTAGCACGCACGTCTTCGACAAGTATAATATAAATTAATCCTTTCAGTACAAATTGCAAAAATATCTTCCATCTCACTCTCTCCGAAAATCACTACGCACTCTCTAAAAGTCAAATCAGTGGGTTTGCACTGAAAACAGTGAATAGTCACTGATTTACACACTGATAAAAAATGTATCTTAATCCAAAAACATATTACTCTACTCAAGAAAACTATTCATTAGGCGGCTCCTAATAGCTTATTAACTTAAATTAAAAAAATAATAAATTAAAACGTGCCTTTCTTGAATTTAAGTATTTATTTAATATCAAACAGTAGATTATTTTAAAATTTAACAATTTTACTTTAATTCTATAAAATGTTCACTAAGATACAAGTTTTACAGCGAAGAAGATTGAATTTCTTATTTGACAAAAACAATGATTTCATTTAATAAAAAATATTCTCTATCTCGTGAAATCTTTAGTTGAATGTAGAAGATGTAACAATTTAAATTAATTTACTTAATGTAATACACAGATTTACTTAAAACTTGATATTTTTATTTAAATAGAGTAAACCTTTACTCCAGTAAAAACAATAATTTTTAATGAATCCATTTACATGGTTTAAAAAAATTGTTTTGTCAGTGCAGTTGCAAGTATACCACTGCGATTTTCAGTAGTACACTTATCGCTGGAAATTTGTGACCATTCACTGTTTTCAGTGATAATCCACTGATTGACTTTCAGAGAGTAACATTTGTGCGCGACATTTGTGCCCTTAGACAACAGCAATTGCGTCATTATTGTCTAAGGGCGACACGTGAAGAGCTCCGCAGCGTTGACCAGAGTCACGACGGCAAACGCGTTAAAGAAAAACGGCGCGAAACGAAGGGGAAGATTGTAGACGGTGAGAAAAAGATATCAAAAATGTGGATGGTCCAAGGGCGCTAATCGAGGCGAATGCGCGAGGGATAAATTTTAGCGCTTTAGTCTACGTATGTGTCTGACAACGGTACTGAAGGGATTACGGCGTACATTAGTAGTTACTTTGTTGACGGCGGACTGGGAACAAAATATGACCTACATATAATAAATATAATAATATATATATAAATGTTTTGTTCTATAAAAATATATGTTGTTTAGAAGCGAGCTATGTACGAATTGAGAATAAAAAATATCTTTGACATGTTGTTAGCGCGTTTTAGCGTTACAAATCCCCGCGCGCAGATTACAGGGGCGGGGGGGGGGCTAGGGGGAAGACGCGCGATAAATACAAAATTGCGTTCGTGCAAAGTATGCTTTCCGCGTGGAAATCGGGGAAAAACGGGCAACGGGATTTTGTTTACATTAATTATCCGAGCGCGCGGCTTCGCGTCCGCGCGAATTTTATAAACGAATAACGCTCGCGGGATTGTTATTCGTTCCGCGAATCGAATTACGAGGGGAGGGAGGGGAGAAGCCGTCGAACTCCCCCGTCATTAGCGATTAAAGAATCGCAAACGCGATAGAATTTGGCATTTGTACCGACGCGCGGCCGTCGAAGGAGCGCCGGATAATCGATAGCACTGGCGCCGTTTCGCGAGGGTGAGAGAAAAGGGTGAAAGGGGTCACCGTGCCTCTCCACCCCATACCCTCGCGATATAGATCCCGCGGCCAGACACTGCGAAACATCGCCGAGCGGGCGACGCGAGCCACGTTACACGTGTGCGACGTGACCGCCAAGTCCTCGAAAAAAATTGGCCCGCTCTCTAAAAATCAATCGACGGATTATCACTGGGAACAGTGAACACCCAGTGAGACGTGATTCGTCGAGTCGACGTCGACACTGTCCAGTTCGGCATCAATTTGACGGTCTCGATTCGACATCGATCGACGAGGCATTTCTCGCTGGGGCAGTCGCTGATTTACAGCTTGAGGAAAGCCCTCTGTTATGCGAATGGTTTCTAGTATGAGATAGCAGGTTTTCAATCGCAAATCTTTTTTCGCAACGATTACACGATGTAACGATGAGCTCGCCACTAAACAGACTTCGCTCCGAGGGCAATAGATTCATGGTGGGACCAACTGACGATGTCCATTGACTTAACAGAAACTCCGCTATCCCATATTAGGATCGTATCTCGTAATAGGGGACTCACCTCTATAAGTATACCATTGAAAATCGCAGTGGTAATATAAATTAATCCTTTCAGTACAAATTGGAAAAATATCTTCCATCTCGCTCTCTCCGAAAATCACTACGTAACATTTGTACGCGTTATTATTCTCCAATGCCCGTTCTACACCCGGGGATGATCCTACTTGTGGCTCATCCGAGTAAGTAAATAAATGGACAAAGATCGTCGTATTGAGACCGTTTATGGACTCGAGTGCTATTTCTACATGAGAAGACGGTTAAAAATCATCGCGAAATCATACAAAAGCCATACTTACAATTAGTATGACAGTCATGCTGAAATGTCCGCGTAAACTTCTCCACTCGGATGAGCCACAAGTAGGATCATCCCTAGGTGTATAACGGGCGACACGTGAAGTGCTCTGCAGCGTTGACCAGAGTCGCAACGATAAACGCGTTAAAGAAAAAGAAAAGAAGCGGCGTGAAATAAAGAGTATAGATGGTAAAAAAAGATTTCAAAAATCTTGACGGTCCAAGGGCGCTAGTCGAGTGACTATTCGCTGTTTTCGGTGATAATCCACTGATTGACTTTCAGAGAACGGATCGGAGATTCCGTGAACGTACAACGGGGCTGCGATAAACGCCCTTTGTCGGTTCTCCCGACGAGAAAATGTATAATTTTCAAATAAATGAACGATCTGCCCTCAGTACGGACAACCGGCGCAATTTATGGAACAGTATGCGCGAACGAGAGCGTTGCGGGCCGTCGTATCTAAAAAGGGGGATGAATATACCGAGGTAATTGCATCTCTGTGAAAGCTGCTGCGAGCTGATATAATGGGCCAATTATCACGTCCGATCGGCGCTGCAAGTGACGAGTTACGCGACGATTAAACTATTGACTCGATGTATTTTTAATATCCTTGCGCAACCATCGATCGCGACCGGCGGCTGTAATGAATGAAAATCATTTATCGTCTTTTTTTCTTCCTCTCAATTTGTGTTTTTAATTTGCCGAACGGACAAAGCGCCGCGAATTAGAGTGCGGCAATTGCCACTGAACAAATTGCCTTTCTCTCTCTCTCTCTTCCTGAATCACGAAATTCGAAATTTTTATATTTAACGAGTTTCGAGTTTTTAATTACTAAAATATTTTATTTAACAAAAGAAACCCACTTCAGTCTCCATTTTCGCGCGTCGAGTTGTTTTTTTAAATAAGTCTGAAGAAATACGGATGTTAAGAGCACGAGAAAAGTGACACGAGTCAAAAGTGGCAATTTTGCAGCTGCAGAACGATTTTAAACTCTCGACTTCTTCAGCTGCATATTATATTAATGACTTAAATAATAAATGCAGCAATTATAATTCCTTCTGCATCGTAAGCTTTTAATAATTTGTGCTTTATTACTATTTTCGTCCGACAAGGTGTCGAAGTATCCTTTTTAGATTTATCGTTCTTGAAAGCTACCTGAAAATTATTTAAAAATAAGTTTTGGGAAGGAGAAATTTCTTGGAATAACAAAATCTCTTTATTCAAGAAAAAACTGCGCTTAATAGGAACATTACAGCAGTATTAAAGGAACATTTTAGAACTTTATATTAAGGAAGAAACAAAAGCAGAAAATTATTTCAGTATATAATATTATTAGTAATGAAATCATTATTTAATTAGAAACTATAAAATGAAGCATAGTATTTCGACATTACATTTTTATTTAATAAACTAGTGAGACAATTTGTTTTCCTTTTACCAGTCGGTTTCATGTTTCGTTATACAAAAGAGTTGGCCGGTTTTTCTTGCCTGCAAAATCATCCATTTTCCTTCTGGTGTTTCTAATTTCAATTTCAGCGAAGTCTGGCTCTTTTGTAATATATTTTCTTTGGATGTTCTTTTTCCGTAATAACGTCTCCAATTTTTATGCTAGCTTCACTGAAAATTGAAAATTCTGTACCTAAATTGATCAAATCTTTGTAGACCATTTCTGTTATCTCGTAGGGACTGCTGGTTGTGTTTTTTATTTTCTTGCTACTACACTCTGCTGCTTTTCTGAATACAAATACGTACGTTTTCGAATTGACAAATTAAGAAAATCTAGAAACTCGTATTATTGACTTTTCTTGTGCGAGGGCAATTAAAACAGATTGGCTCGTTCGTGAGAAAAATGATTAAAGTTTTTTTTCTCTTCAGAACGTTTATCGGTCGCGAAAGGATTAACAGCTTTCCGCAGAATAATGCCGGCGGAGTGTCTGTGCGGACAGTTGTGGTTCTTAACGGGGAAGAGTAACGAAGCGGGGGTGGAGAACGGCAATCGCGCCGGTCTTCGATGGGGAAATCCAATAGGAGATAATGTAGTTTAGTTTCTGGAGGCCGATGAAAGCCGTGGCAGAACCCTTTGCGCGATAAAGGCGCCGTTAAATAAGAAAATTCAAACCTAATGGAACCCTAAGACCCGGCGTTTCCCTTTTAATTGCCTTTACGCGCTTCGCAAATTAGTCCTCTTACGGCAAAATGAGGTTCCTCTTCTAGGTCCGTATAAAAACTGTAATTACGCTTAGCTTATAAGCTTCTTTGGTGCCGTTGAAAAAAAAAGAGGCAAGATTTTGCGCCTGTTTTTTTTTTTTACAGGAAGATACCCCGATCCCCGGACTCGTCGCAATCGCTTTATCTATACATGCACGGCGGATAGATAAATTTTACTTCATCCGCCTGAGCGAGAAAAGCTGTCGTTCGTGACGGTAAACTCCCGCGAGACGCTTATCGGGAAGTTCAATCGAGACTAATGCAATTTCAGACCACGAGTTTTCGATGGAAAATGAGAGGCGTTTCCGCGACGACCGCCTTAATTCCCTCATTTCCCGCGCGCCCGATAAGAAAAGACGAGCGGAGTGCGCTTCTGCGAGAGGTAAGTAATTATTGCCGCTCGTTAATCTCATCTCGCGCAGTGTGGAAAACAACTGCGAGCAAACGAAAACGGAAAAGATTGAGACAAGATTCCATCCGCGGCGGGGGGAAAAAATTACCTGCGTTCGAACTGTTTTGGCCTACTTTCGCCTCACTGTAACTGTTGCGGAAGTTTAATTTGTATTATATTTATGAAAGCGAGAGGAAGGGACAAATGGAAACTCGCGACTTATTGAAAACTAACAAATTTGCGTGCGCTTATTCCTAGGAATCATCAGGATTGTGTCTTTGGATAAGCGGCAGTTACGCAAAGTAACGAGGGCGGAGTTTTGATAAAAAAAGAAACATTTCCTTTATATACGCAAGATTTTTATACATGATATATATATATGCAAGTAAATAGCGAGATAAGTCTATTGCGCGTAGAAACAATCGCCATTAGTTCTACGTCACCAGCACAATTAGAAACAATAAAGTAACTCATATTTGTTAATATCACAAAGTATTGCCGTTTCTCTGCTTTTTCAGCCGACACACAAGCACCTATTGTTTTCCCTGCACGCTCGAATGGCAATATATGGAAGACCGCAACATGTCTAAAAAGCGGCTAGAGCATGAAAATATATTATTTGTATATATCTTCTTTTAGAATATGCGTATGTATGTATATATATATATGTGTGTGTGTTTTTTTCAGAAAAATAGAGTACTCTTTCTTTGTTTAAACATGAGAAGAAATATTGATTACTTCTATTTGTCTCGGGTGTCCTTTATAAACGACACTTAAACTATTGTCATCAGTCTATAACATTAGATAATTACCATCAGATATTATCGCAGATATGCACTCTACTCTGTCTATTAATCTCAACTCATAGTTTTGCAGAGAACGAAAAAAGTAATTCAGAACGTGTAATTTCTGCTATTCCATGAAGAGACACGACAACAATCGACATATATATAGGCATGTAATTTTTCCACAATTCTAGATCACGCATATTGTATCTTACAGTACTTTGATCCACGCCAACAGTTAATATAAAAGCAAATATAATTCTGACGTTTCACTAATGGTTTCAGAGAGGATTAACTACCCGAATTATTTCTCATCAATGAGTAACGATTAAACATTCCATCCTCGATTTAATACAATCAGCGGGTCTAATTGTACACTAATCAATTTATCGTTTTGGAAGAATTTTTGAAGATGTCAAAAATATAGTTTACTAGTTATCATTACGCATTGAAAGTTTGCAAAGCACTGCCTTAAAATTACTAAGAGTTAAAAACCCGACCGTCAACAAATCAAAGAAAATATTTCACTTTGGAATAGCGCGAACATACATTCGTCGATTTAATACAATCTTGATAATCATCTTTTTATCTCTCAACTATTCAATTTATTCAGATCTCGTGCTTGTTATTGTTTCTCCCCATGGACCAACTATCTTATTCCTAAGTATCTTTTGATCACAGATTATTTCATGGGCGTTGCGACGAATTCATTGGAAAGTTACCCGATGTATTCTCGTCAAAATGTAACGGCTTATTAATACAAAAGTAGTATAAATAAAATCATTAACCAAAAAATATGCGGTATGTCTATGTTAATTGTAATAACTATTAATATTAAATATTAATATTCGCACTATACTAGGAATATATCACATCTTAGCTTAAACCGAATGCAAATTCTCGTCATCGATGTGTTCGGTAATTCGCAAGTACACAACTCCAATATAGATTTAAAATAACATAAACGCATGCTAATAACGTCAATATATAATGCGTGTGCTTTAAGTATTCAAGCTAATGTCTATTAAAAAAAAATTAAGGTACAGATGCCCCAAAAGTTGTGCAATTTCTTCCAGCTATTACAATCAAATTGGCAATTTAAATTATGATATGACATCGTATTAATATCATAAGTACTTAGTCATGGCCCACTTAATTCGCTTAATTTTAAGAAATACTTGATTAAACAATCAAAGTGTGCTTTAATTAATGGCTGTTAATTAAAGTGACTCTTAAATTAATGGGCAGAATAATGAAAGAAAGGAGAGAAAGCTAGAGAATGCCAATTCAATATTTGCTATACTTTTCACAAACACACAAAATTCACTAAAGAACTCATAACTGAGAAGAAGCGCGTATTGTCCGAGACACTCGGTATACATGACAAAATTCTCGTAGAAAATGGATTGACTTTTGAAGACGTCCGTCCCTACATTCGAAATATAAACGGCCAAGAAACAACACGTAATTACATGTTCGATGTAGCTTTTCGATAGACGTTTTAGACGGTCGTCACGTCGGTCACTTCAATTCTGGAAATCGGTTTCGCGGGTTCCACGTATATAAATCCCTCCTCGTCGTTGACGGACTCACCGATTCGGAGCTGCTGCAAATTCGCCACGATCGAATCTACCTGAACCGGCTGATCCGGCGGAGCGGCCTCGCTCCTGAGTTTGCTGAAGTGGAGGTAACAGATGCCGCGGTAGCCCTGCCAAGTTATCTCGCTCGGCTTGACGCCACGCATCAACAGAGCGTTCTTCAGATCGCGGACTCTCACGCCGGACGAGATGTTGGAGAGCTTCAACGAGAAATCGATATGTGTTTTCGTTCGAGCACGAAGATTCTTACGCCGCCGGGACGCGTTCTTGCTGCTGCTGTTTTCCACCTTCTATAATACATAAAGAAGACTTACTTATAAGGAAAAGGATGCTAAAAATACAAATAAAACGATGAAATAGTTTTCAAATAAAATTCACGTAAACTTAAGAAAAGAGATCTCTTTCCTTTACAGACGGTATACTATTGGAAACTCGACACGCGGATCTCGATATGGGAAGAACATTTACTTGTACTTCAGCATTGAGAGGATTACTTTCTTCCTCGGCTTTTGGCTTCTTATACGTTCGTCTTCGTGGGAAGCGCGGCTTGTCAACTTTATCCTTGCCGCCTTCCACGGCGTGGTTCTCCGCATTAGACGCGTCTCTCTTTGCACTGAAGCGCTTCTTGTTTCTCGGATACTTAGCGCGGTTCTTGACATAGTGGCGCGTCTCCACGTCGGAATCGACTTCCTTCAGGACCACGACCTTGCCGTCGCTGCGAAAGGACAATTGTGTATTTACACGAAATAGCCCACCTAACGTGATTCAGGCAACTTAATGCATACTTCTCATCCATCTCTTTGAGCTGCTGTAATACCTGCATGGTTTTGAGTCTTCTCTCGCTAAGCATGTGCCACAGAATGCCAGACGGCTTCTTCAGTCTCGACTCTACGTATATAGTTTGCGTCGGAGTGACAATTATGTCTACCGGCACGTCATATTCTCTGAACAGTTGCGGCGGTAGGTGGTCTACGACTTGGCAATCGTGCACCGTCGTGACAACAATCGTGTTCTCTGTTATCGTGCCCATTCTCATCATCATCGCAAACTCAAGATCGGCGAAGCCCTCTCCTTTGCCGAGCCTGTATCCGTCCTGGCTGACGCACACAGACCCCAGCACGACGAGGTCTACCTAAATAAACAACGAGCGCAAATCAATATTTAGGATCGCCAGCTGATGCCCTTCGCCGTCGAGGTACATCTAGGCAGCAGCGTAAGGAAGAACAAGTGTCTACATGATTAGCGTGAGAAAACGTCACTGTGATATTGATTATGTTCAGCGGAGAAAGCTGCTCTGCAACTGTTGTAAAATTCGTAAATTTGATTGGGTGTATGCTGTTAGATTCTAGCGTGATCAAGAGCGTACGCCAATCGGATTAAAGAGTCTTCTTCATTTCTGCCGAAAGCCATTCGTGCGGCATCAATTCATTCTTATCAACACTCCAATAAATATCCTCGAGTCGTACAAAATATTCACCTTGATATGAGAATCTAGTCCAAGCGGTTTGCCCGCTTGCTCCAGACCGCGCATGGAAGCCAGCGCTCTCAGCTGTTCCTTTGTCGCGCCGGCGACTGGCGTGACATGTAGGAACAGGCCGGTTCTCAGCCTGGGGATAGGCACGACGATCTCCTTGTTGGCCTCCAGGGCCGAGAACCTCACCGGCTCCTGCGGCTTGTCCGGATTTATCTTGATGACTCTCGCCTTCTTAAACACGTCCAGTTCGATCAGCCGCTGCGCCGCCTCCGCGGCGCCCTTGAAGTTCGGTATACGCTTGTATATGTTGACGGGGAAGTTGACCAGCTCATTCTTCGTCATGTAGTCCCACACCTTGCGGCGGAAGCTCGACTTCGTCACCTCCTCGGCTGCAAGAAATCGTTGAACGTGAGGCAGTTAGCTCGACGAACGGCAACGATACAGCGCGCGCGGTCAACTCGGTACTTTTTGCAAGATAATTTCAAGATGGTGAGACTCTTTTTCGTTCGCACGAGACACGTCTCTACGTCTCTTGTGTACAAACACACGGACGCCCAGAATTGTTTCTCTTTGACATTTCTCGGCTGGAAACGTCGGGGGGAGTCGAAGAAACGCCTGTTGCGCCGATCGCGTACCGGGGAGAAGGCACTCACGTAAATTCTCCGTCATCCTGACCGGTTCACCAGCGGAGTCTCGGGGAAGGCGGTGATCCAGGACCCGGAAGAAAAGAAAAGAGAGAGAGAGGGAGAGAAGGGGATCCCAGTGGAAGCGTCACCGCGAAGTCCGTCCTGCAAAAATAGACCGCGCGACTCTCGTCCCGTTTACGCGCGGCTCCTTCCCCTCCTCCTCGTGTCTATTTCTACGCGGCCCCACGTCCACAAACTCCGCGGCATCGCAATCCTCTAGGGCAGGCCTGGGCAATTTTCACTGCCCGCGGGCGCCCGTTTGCCCGCGGGCAATAGCTGTGCGTGTCGGGCAAGAGTGGGGAGACAGTTTCGGCAAGAGTGGGGAGACAGTTTCGGCAAGTGGGAAAGAACGTCGCGCTTTAGAAGTATAGTTTCGAATATGATTGAGACGTGGTGGGGCGATGATTGGAGTGGGGGCATGCCCGCGGGCATGCCCGCGGGCGCCCGCGGGCGCCCGTTGCCCGCGGGCAGCATTTTGCCCACCCCTGCTCTAGGGGGCCGAGCCGACCGGTCCGTCGTCGAGGCGCGAGGACGCCGGGGGAGAACGCGACGAGCGACGAACGTCGGAGTTTCGAATCGCCCTGCTCCGCGCGCCGCTCGCGAGGACGACGACGACGGACGCAAGCCGCAGCAGGAGGCGACAGGAGGCGACAGGACTGATCAGCTGATCCTCGAGCGACGAACTAGGGAGTTATAAGGTGCTTCTAAAGCCTGTCACACAATGCCAGGCAACAGGAACAGGGAATAGAATTTCTGACGTGTTGGATTGGTTGAACGAAAATTTCCGACGAATCCATAGACCATGGAGAATGTATAAGGAGACCGAACTATCCGGGGAACATACGGATCGTAAGTTGTAATGTTGTAATCTGGGGGTCTATTACGGTTCTCGGATTGGGTGAAAATGACGAAAGTGAGCGGCTCTGTCTCTTACTAAAGGGACAGTTAGAAAGAGACAAAGCTACTCACTTTCGTCATTTTCACCTAATCCGAGAACCGTAATAGACCCCCTGGTCGAACTTGTTATTTATTGGCATTATGGCATTAAAAAAGCCTTATTACAGGTTAAAGCACACATTCGTGGGAAGGCGGAGGTGGAGAAATTTTGTCCGTTAAAGGTGCAAAGCAAATATACGAAGCAATTCTAACCGCTACGTTGGTTAGGCCTTTACGAAAAAGTAACGAAATAATTACTAGAAAATTACTGTATATCAGTAATTGAACTATCAGAAATTACTGATGTACAGTAATATTCTAATAATTATTTCGGTACATTTCCGTAAGGGGGCTGATGGCAGAGAACAATCCGTAAACACCTAAGACTGTCTCAGTCGTAGACGTAGGGCAAGGCAGAGAGAAAGTTCCGTCTGGGCCGTCGAGCGGTTCACGCGTCTTCCGACGGAAGATAAATTTTTGATCCTATGGGATTGCATCATCCCGCGTGTGGCCCGGTTACCGGGCCATTGCATCGTTCAATTCACTACATTCCAAGCAATACCATTAAGTCTATTGGTTCGACGTGGCCGTGTCGGCTCAGTGTCTGTGAGCCGGGAGCCAATAACCAGAGAAGAAGAAGAAGGCAGAGAGAAACGTAAGTCGTATACAATAGCCTTTCACGACTTACGTTTCTCCCTGCCTTGCCCTACGTCTACGACTGAGACAGTCTTAAGCGTTTACGGATTGTTCTCTGCCATCAGTCTTAGGATTTCTAGGTAAATAGATATAGATATGATTTATTGTGATCCTCTATTTCTGTAACACAAAATTGTCAACCCCCCCGCCCTCCCCTCTGCTTGCGTGTATACTTTAATCTTGTAAAAGGATATTTGATTCCGTAGAACCAATAAAAGTTTGTTGTAATTTTGCTAGTCATACATTTACGACTTTAGGATCCAAAACTGGCATTTTCTATTATATACAAGAAATACATAAAGATGTGTTTCCAGATAGCCACTGTGAGCACATGTTGCTTTTATATTGCTAACAAGAATGTTAGCATCTTGCTATGCATCTATGTCTATCTATCGTGCTGTTGTTTGTTAGCATTTGATGTCGGGAATGAAACATTTGTATAATCCAAACAAAGAGCTGGCATCAGTTGCTGGGCATTTAATTACCATACACTGAAAAATATTAAATCCACATTGTTTAAATTCATAAGCTGAAATATAAATATTTTTTAGTTTTGACTACATAACTCAATTCTTATACTAATATATCTTGTATCTTTTCATTGTGCATTATATTATACTTAACTTCGATCCTTTTTTCTCTCTTCTAATATTTAGTATTAATTCTTGTTCCTAACATGTTCTTTATTTCACGCAGACCTGTAATCCTTAATTTGTTTTACAGATTATTGAATAAACTGGACAAATAAAAACAGGATATATATTTATGTACCTTAAGCGTCGATATGTGTGCGAGTTACAGCACATTTGTTTAAGGTAGCTTGGAATAAACTCTTATTTCAATTTCAATCTGCCTCAAAGTCATTATGTATACAGAGTGGTTCTGCAATTTCTGAAATGTAAGTTAATTTCTTAAATAATTATTGTAATAAAATGATAACTTTGCAATCCTTACAGTTTGAAATGGCATCAAAGAATAAGGAGGTGCAGAAAAAGCGCGTGTTCATGAGTGTGGTGCAGAAATTAGAGGTAATCAAGAAAATGGAACAAGGCGTCTCAATGACGGATATTTGTAAAATGTATGGCGTTGGGAAAACGACCGTCCGGAGAACCCTTAAATCAAAGACTATGTTGCAACAGTTTTTGTCGTCATACAATTTTGATAGTTCATGTACTTTTTCAATAGGGAATAGAACAAATATGAAGTTTGGGCCAAATAAAAAGTTAGATGAAGCTCTGTCAAAATGGTATATTCAACAGAGAGCCAATGGTATTGATGTACAACATCTCCAGTTGAGATCTAAGTTAAAGGCTCTTAAAGCACGTATGACATACAAGATTAAGAGTGACAAGGGGTGGCTGCGCGATTTTAAAAGAAGACGAGGCATTGTTTCTTCTTTGAGCGATAAAGTCTGTAGGGAATCTTCGGATTCAGAAAAGAAAAACATTAACGTAGACAAAGTTATACCAGAAGAATCTATAGAAGTTGGGAATTTGCCTTTACCCTCAGTTTCGCCTCCGATTGCTTCTATACTTGACAACATTTCGGAAGAATCTATAAAAGGTGAAGGGAAACCTTCACCACCTCCGATTGCATCTACACGTCACGACATTTCTAAATTAAATGCTTCTACAATAAGAAAGCGAAGACGCAAGCAATTCTGGCGAAATAAAATTTTAGATGAAGCTCTGTTGAAGTGGTATATTCAACAGAGATCCAGTGGTATTAATGTACAACATAACCAGTTGAAATCGGAGTTTAACGCTCTTGTAAATCGTATGAGACTCAAGATCAAAGCTACTGGGAATTGGGTGATAAATTTTAGAAAGAGACATGGCATTATTTTGTCATTGGGCGACAAAATCTGTAAGGAATTTTCAGATTTAGAAAAGAAAAACCTTGACGAAGACCAAATTATACCAGAAGAATCTATAAAAGTGGAGAATTTGCCTTCACCGTTACCTTCGCTTCCAATTACTTCTACACATTCCAAAGTTTTGGAAAAGTTTATAAAAGTTGAGAATTCTTCAGAATCATGTTTATCCCCAACTGATGTTTATCACAACTACATTTGGGAAGAATGTGATATAAAATCTGAAGGTTCCCCTTCACCTTTAGACGATAAATCTTTAAATGATGAATAAAGACTCGCTATCACTATAGTCACAGCAAATACGTCTTTTTGACTACTTTGTAAATCAACAAAGAATATAATGATGTGATTTAATAATTTTATATTGTATGGTTCTGCATACTATATTAAAGCTATTGTACATTAAAGACATCAAGAAACAAAAATGACATTATATATAAGAAATACGTTAAGATGTGTTAATAGAAACAGGATACATATGTATGTTTCTCAAGTCCTATTACGTGTGCGAGTCATGACACATTTGCTTTATATAGTGTGGAATAAACTCGTTATATTTCGATATCAGTCTGCCTCGAAGTCTTTCTGTTGTTTACAGTGGGTTTCTGCCATTTTTTAATTGTAAGTTATTTTCTAAAATAATTATAAAAAGATAATTTTGCAGTTTAAAATGGCACTAAACAATAAGAAAGTAAAGAAGTGCGTGAACTTGAGTTTGATCAGAGAGAGACCTGAAAGCGGTCACCCTGGCGTTTTACTTGGTACCGTTTCAGGAGACTGTTTTGCGCGCTCTTACGGTATGTACATCACATTTCAAATTTCGCGCACTACTATAACGTCACTACGTATGAGTCCGCGCCGCTCCCGTATAGTGTCGGTACGACAGATTCCTATCCCCACAACTGTCAGATTTTAACAATTTATAGCTGTTTTATTAGTGTCGAGCGACGGTTTTAACTTGCAAATTCGTGTTTTACAGGCCAAAATATACGATCCTGTGAATTTTTATCAAAAATGAAGAGTGAGAGACTCTCCTTCAGTATTACCCAAAAAGAGACAAAGATACCACTTAAGCCTTGTGTCCACGATCCAAGAACTTGGTTCAAGTTCTAGTTTCGAGAAATGTGTAGCCAAACAACCTGCAGCTATTCCATAAAAGCTGCAAGGTGATTGGCTACGCATTTCTCGGAACTAGAACTTGGACACAGTGCTTGGATCGTGGACACAAGGCTTTAGGCCGGCATTCATAGTCCGTTCTTATATTTAAGATCATCTTAGTCCCAGTC